GCCGGCCGCCGCGCCTCCGCCTGCTCGTCGCCGAGGGCGGGTCCCCGCATGCCTCCTCGCCTGTCCAGGCCCCTGTCAAACCTGCTGGCAAGCGGAGAAGCAAGCGGACCTGAGACAGGTGACCCAGAGATGGAGGGATCTGCTCTTCGGGAGATGGTGAACGCACCACTCCCTCCCCCGGAGGAGGGCCGGGTGGAGAATCTTTTGTTTAATTTTTTCCCGCCGTTGGCCTCATGGCCGACGGTACCCAAATTCTCAACAAAAGAGCAGTTTCTCTGGGTCCCAGGAGGGCACGGAGAGTTGCGGAATTTAGTTTACACTCGAAGAAGATTGGTCTATCGAAGCGATATCCCAATTCGTCGGTCACCGACGTGACATCTCCATTCCCACCTTCAGGGAACGAGGGTTACCATACGTAACCGAGACGTTCTTCCTCACAAAACTACAAACATCAATTAGCACGCCTGACTGACTGATTGCATGATTGTAGGAGGTCAGGAGGAGCGCATCCTTTGACAGTCTTTTATATGTTCCCACGAGAGGCACGTAGGCTAATCATGCTGAATATGGCAACCCACGTAGCATCAGCGCTGTGTTTTTTCCATTCATCCATGGTTGTCGTTTATTTTTAATAGGCTTTAATGGAAACCAGGTCCCAGGCCCCTTGAAGCACCACAACAAGCCTCATTTTTGGCGTTTTTCGGTCTCTGTGCTGGAGGAATGTAGTGCACAGCTGGCGGAGAGGGGGGCGAGGTGCCGCTCTGAGGTCAGCACTGGGCAGACATCAGGGGCAGGTGGTGGTATGTGTGCTGTGGGAATACGTGGGTGTACAGGGACAGAGACAAGATTTTTATGAGAAAGTACTCTTCTTAAGTGGGCTGCTGGGGGCCCCTGCTGAACAGGGCAGCTGTGAAGACAGCGAGAGTTGTTGGGTTTTATAGGATGTGATTCACTGCTGGTGTTTGCATGCAGGCGTACATCTGCAAACAAGGCTTCAAGGGAAAATAAGAATATGTGGATGTCAGCAGAAATCAATAATTCTCATAAAAACTTATTTGGTATCAGACCAAAGCTTCTGTGTGGTAAGCAAGCATTTCAGAGTGGTCAAATCCAGTTTGACTCACCCTACAGTACCGTGTGAACAGCATCTTCTTGTAACTCTGATGTAATGGATTAAGATGTACAGTGTTTCTAAAACATCCTGACTCATAAAACGTGGACAAAATGTTCAACATATGAGCTTAGGAAATTTCATGATGAATAGTGTTGGTCTGAGACGGGAGGTGGACCTGCAAAGTTACTGTCTTTGACAAAGTTTGGTCTGCGGCTTTTTGTCATGATTTATGAAAGACACCAACATCACAGCAAAGACATTTTTAATGTGTGTTTTATTTTATGTGTAAATGTAAATCTACAAATCAAATCTGTCTAAATATCTATAGAACAGATTTGTAGTGCAATAAGAGAGTCACCACAGGGGAGGGTATTTTTTTGAGTAGGACATCTGCGGTTATGTCTGGTTATGTCTCATCTGGTCATAGGGTAGTATCAAGCTGATAGAGGTGTGTACTTTGCGTGAAAAGCTCCAGTTACATCCGCTCCCCTTAACTAACCTTGGACTGTGAAACAACAATGATGTTGAAGCATACTGAGAGGAAGTTCAAATTAAGTGGCAGTGTTGGTGTAGTAAGTTCATTCTGTGAATGCAGCTGTGTTTTTAAGTCATGTGGGGGGAAAAACTATACATGAGTAATAGAACATGACTTTCATTACTTATTAATAAGTGTGTTTTATCAGAAAGAAAGAGAGAAAGTAATATGGGTGTAGATGAGAAGAAAATGAACGTTGTGTAATGCCATTATCAGTCATCCTGATAATAATCCTTTTTAGCTTGTGTTTTAATTTGGACACAGACGCCATATTACAGAACTTTATAATCTTAAATCTTAAGTTAAGATCTGACTCAAATAGTTACCAGAACTATTAGTTGTTCACACTTCTTTTAACTTGAGATGGTGACACGTGTGAGGCGCAAAAAAGTGAGGATGTCTGCAAATGCACAGAAAAACAATGAAAAAAGTGAACCTGTCCACACAAAACATGTTTTTGCATTCCACTTAACTACTTAATAGTTTTTTATGTAAATGTGTACTAGATGGATGTCTTTCATCTTTGCATCACTTTTTTAGTGTCTCACGCATGAGCGTTGTGCTTTTAGGACTGAAAAAATGGTGATCTGCATTGCGATGCTGGTCCACTGTTTAGACCAGCTTGGACCTGAATGAAAGTTGGTGCTGATCTAAGATTGTGTTTTTCACTGGGGAGATTTCCCAGAAGGTTGCTCTTATAACAAAAAAAAATCAAAATAATAAAAATAATACAGTTTTTGCCTGGCAACACAAATAACCTGCATTATAGTGCCACAACAGAAAGCTTTCAGGGAGTAGGTTCAAAAGAAGGAAATCACTTATGAGACGAATGTCACCCATCCTGGGCAGCAGAGGGAATGATACCGCTTCCTGTCTTGAGTGTACTCATGGCTCCTATCATCAGCTTTACCTGGCCCCAGACCAGCAGTGAACCTTCACTGTAATAATAGCACACAGAAGAGATCTCGAGAGATCCGAGTAAAATGAAGCTCTTCATCAGAGTATAAAAAGGTGGCATTATGCAGAGGGCAGAAAATAGGGACTGATTGATGTGAAGGATGTGTTTAAGGACATCTGATTCATCTGGGGTCTGCCTTGTTCTCTCACACACGTGCTGACAGAGGTGACCCCTCCGTGGGGGGCACAGCTGTACCTCTGGCCTCCCTCCTCTGATCTAGAATGTATACACACGCTCAAACACACTGTTTCCACATCTCTGCCAGCTCAAACCTGTCCTGCACAGACAGTCCAGCTCAACATGGGAGCGGGAAGGCTATTGCTTAACATTCTGAATCAGAGTCTCCAAATTACACTGTAATGATCTTGTACTTCCTTACAGTGTTCCATTTGTGGTTTGCTTAACCACAGTTTAGCATTGTGCTTGTATTACAATTCACCAGAAATAACTGTAATGCACATCTTCAAAAAGTTGACAGTCACTTGGAAACCTGGAAACTTGTGGTGTTGTGTTACTATATTCAAGGCTGTCAATTTGACCACATTGTGGCTTTTGTGGGATGTACTTGCAATGATAGTGTGTCACTGATTGTGTGTTTTGCTATATTGTGTTTTTTGTAGGGTTGGTAGAGGGATCTCATCTGCCTGATCCACAGCTGCTTCCTGCTGGAGACACACACCTTCGGCATGTTGGTGACATGCTCACACTCATCTGCAGGTACTGTGTCCATCTCACACAAACACTAAATCTAGAATATGCTCATTTTATTGATATTATACAATTAAGCATTCCAGTATTCAGACAGAATAAATTTAAACTCAGTTTAGAATAACATAGGAAGTTAATGCAGGACCAATCTGATGACACGTTTCATATCAAAGGAAATTGGGAATTAGAGTTAAATACTGTAATAGAGGATGAGATGTGGACAAATATATGTGCTGGCTGTCATAAGGGTATAAGTAGTCAAACGTGGAAGGAATTTGATTGGAAAATGAAAATGAGATTCTTCAGAGTTCCATTGGTGGTTGCCAAATTTGACAGTACATCGCCATTATCACAGTGTTGGAGAGAATGTGGAATGGTGGGGGACTATGTGCATATATTCTGGGAATGTCCCAAAGTACTATTGTATTGGCAGCGGGTTAAAAGGGAAATTAGTAAAATTTTAGGGAGAGATATATCAATGCACCCAGTATTTTTTTTGCTAGATGGTTTGATTTGCTTGAAGGAAATAGCTCTAATATATATTAATGTTTGAACCATGCATATAATTTGCCAGTATGTGGTGCATTTATTGAAATGCTGTCAGGGACTTTTGTATTTATTTTTAAATTAAGTGTTTTTTTTTTCGGTTTTTTTTCTTTCTTAGTGTTTATTTATTTATTCATTTACTTTTCATGTATCAATATTGTAAGTAAAAGTTATGTAACAGTGTTTTGTTAAAAAAAAGTTTCAATAAACAAAAAAGAAAAAAGAATAACATAAAACTACCAAATTATTTTAATTAAATTCAATTAAATTCAAGTTTATTTGCAACGTGATAGTCCAGTCTAGAGGTCATGAATGCATGAACTAGCTTTTCTGCATCTTCAATAAACTTTCAATAAAAATAAACGATTTTAAATAGTCCTTTTAAAATCATCTTGTCAGAAATATTTTCTTTTATGTTTCACAGAAGAAAGTTATACAGGTTTGGAACATTGTAAATGAGTAAATGACAAAATGTTTATTTAGGTGTAAACTATCCCTTTAATTCTGTATAAGCACTTGGGTGGCAGCTGGTGTGTTTCCAAGCACACTGATCTCACACCATAACTCTTCAAAACAAAACTCATTTGCTTTTGCTTGTGGGATGAGAGGCTCTCAGAAAGCAATATAGTCCCAAAATAGCTATGTCATCCAAATGCAGCGGAGAGAGAAGGGGACGGGGGACTTCTGAAACATACACATTTAGACTCTGAGAGAGCATTCCATGCTATTGCAGTCATGCCAGGAATGCTGACCCCGAAGAATCTTAACTAATGTAACGGTTCCCTAGAAGGCCCTGTGAGCCAGAAGCAGATACTGCCTTTGGCTCTGGACAGAGATTTGAGGCTGAAGTTGCATGACCCATCAGTCTAGAGGCAGCAGCAATATGTGAGATATGTCTGATTCTCCAATGGGGTCCTTAAAATGTGCCCTTTAAAAAAAACAAAAAAAAACTGTGTGAAACATTTGAACACTTCCATTTAATAAATACCTGTTCCCATGTGAAAGTGAGACACTAACAAACTTTAGAACTTTCCAAAATAAACCCTACTGAGAATATGGATAAAGAATCTGACATGCTCTCAGAGTAAAAAACTAATTTTGAGTAATTCAGAAAGAGCTCTTGTAACATTTAAAACAAATGTAATCAGGAACCGCAGAAGCATCAGTCAATGAAGGATTTGTATTAAACTGGTCTTTCTATAAACCCTCCTTATGCTTAATTCTAAAGTTATGCTCAGGATGCCAGTCAAAAACGTCTGCTGTTGATTAATTTCAGTTACTTTTAGGATTGCGTTTGTAATGTCAGAGTAAACTAAAAGAGGCTGCAGAATGTGTTTGTATGTGGTTGGTTGGGTAATTTTCCTGATTTTGTTTTTAAGTTCTGTAATATATGACATGAATAGCTAAAAATCAAATGTTATAGCAGCAGATACTCTCTGCAATGATTATTTAATCTGGCATAAGCCTACTTGGCTATGAAATTGTCCTTATTGTTGCTGATGTTTTGTTTATATGGTGTGACTTACATTAGAGGATCAACTTCCCTGCACTGGAAGTTGGCTAACAGAGATGTGTCATCGGTACGGATTGAGCCGTGTGAGGAGAGAATGCACAAGCACTGCAGCAAGCTGGTCATACATGACCTGATGCACAATGACACTGGCTTCTACACATGCAGTCACCAAAAGTCTAGCAATCATGAGGTGTCCACATATGTTTTTGTCAAAGGTAAGATGATTAGAATACTTATTAATGTTTTTAGCATAGACCCAGAGATCGTACAAAATTGGTTTAGTAAAATAAAACATCTCTTTAGAAGTTTTTTACTTGTGTACATCGCTGTTTTTGGTTACAAATGATCCCTGTAGGATAAATCAAGGAACTTAGCCCTTTCCTTCCAATTAATTGCCACAAGAGATTTTGAGGTCTCTCTGTGTAAAACAGGACCTGGAAAAACTCAAGGCCATTAGAAAAGCTTGAGATTTAAAAAAGAGATGAAGTAATGAGAAACTTCGCCTCATTGTAGACCTGACTGAAACTAGAACAAAGCCATAAACCTGTTAGCTGGGCAATGGAGCTAGTGACTATGCAGCTATGACTGTGCTCACTTAGAAGATTTGAATCACTGACAACTGAACCGTATCTGCAAGACAGAACCTAGCTGTCATAAGACTAGCAAATAGAAAATCAGTGACACAAAAAAGGAAGGATTTTATATTAAGCTGGATGTCTTTAGAGATGGAAACAGAGTTTGATTGTTCTGGAAGCCTGGTCTTTGATAATTTCCTGTTTGGGCTTCTGCTTAGAGTCTTCCTGTGCCTCCCGACAACTGCATAAGCTGTTAACATTTTAAGCAAGAGTTTTTTAAATGTCCCTCAAAAGATATTGTAATAATGAATTGAATTATATATAATTATTATATATGAATAATAATATTTCACAATATTGCTGTATTTAGCCTAGCTTTTAATCAAATAAATTCAGCCTTGGTGAGCATAAGAGACTTGTTTTAAAAACATTCTTTTAAAAAACTCTTATCGACCCTAAACTTTTGAACGGTAGGGTATGTCCAAAAGAGCTGATCTGCAGTTTATCTATAGCAAAAGACAGTGATAACTTCAGCTGTGAAAATGACAACAAAGCTCACCAAGTCTCTGGCTCACCAACTGTTTTGTTTAGCAGACCTCTACCACTGCAGCCTGCTGCATATATAGCCAATTTAGTACCTGATAGTCCCCTGGTTCATCTCACTATGTGATTCCACAGTTTATGCGAGATAAGTTTGTTTAAAAAATATGTTTTATTACATGAACACTGTCAGCACACAGAAGATCTTGTTTGTTTAATCATGCCAATCTCGCAGCATAGCTGTACAGTAACATCCCCTCCTGCCAAGCTGTTTCTGTTTCGTTATCCAGCAGCCTGTGTGGCAGTTTGCTGTTTAAAGAGAAAAATGATCTGACTTTATCTGGGATATTTAATTGCTCCTCTAGGCTGGATGTCTAGGCATTGCTTGAAGTTTAAGAATTCATTGATAAAAGATTAAATACTTTTAAAAATGGCATTTAAATCATAAGTGAATTAATGAATTATAGTGTTTGTTATCAGTAAATTAGCTTTGTGCTAAGCAAACTGTTATTATTTTGTGCTTATTGTATTATTTTATTCATTTTAAATCATAGATCACAATCAACCATTTGTGGAGGCTCACAGTATAGCACAACCGCTTTATGCATATCGGGAGGAACCTTTTTTAGTGGTCCCATGCAGAACAACATCCCCGAATCAACATGTTATCCTTGAGACTGTGAGTATTTTTTTTATGTTAACGGCACCGTTTTCAAACCCACTTAAAGTAAAAATATTCACATATAATTTGCGGCCACATGCAGAGGAGGTGAATATTTACCTGCTTTCCATGCCTCAAAAGCCTTGAATATGAAAAAAAGAGGATGTGTTTTGTATGATCTAACATTGAAAAATGCCTGTGCGTTTCTGGCACCCATCATAGCCCTGAGCATGTGTATACAGATAGAGACAGTGTGCCATAGGCTCTGGGAAGCTCAAGGAGGCCTAAGGAGTCACTCTGTCTGCTTCCTGTAAGAACAGGAAGGTAGCGTTGTACTGTTGTTTTTCACTCAAAATAGAAACACCTTTTTTATGCATCATGTCCATGAAGACAAGGTTAGGGAAACAAATTGTACTTGAATAGTAAACTTCTGTTCATTAATTTTATACAATTTTTAATGTAATGTTTTCTTTTCTTTTCTTTTATTATGTATACTAGTAAGCAACTTCTTACATAATATGTGAAAATAGATTCGGTCCTCTAAACCAGCGGTTCTCAATTCCAGTCCTCGCGTACCCCCACTCTGCATGTTTTGCATGTCTCTCTTTGTTAACACACCTGATTCAGATCATCTCGTTAGAAGTGAGCTCCGTGCATGAACTGTGTTCCGATTGACATGGTCCCTACACAGTGTCCATCGCTCCCTACTCCCTGAGCAGGGGAAATCCATTGAAGTTTACTTCACTTCGGAATATTCATTTACAGATTTGCGCTGCGCCGCTGCCTGCAGCGTCTTCACACACATACGAAACTTACTAGAGAAGTGTGAAGTGGGACATAATATACCTCTGTAAAGAAATACAATTTAAATTCACGTCTCGCACACTTCAATGCCCTTTGTATGGAACCTATACGCTCCCTTCAAACTGGAATCATGGCGGAATATCCAGTAATGTCCACTTCGCAGGGCACTTACAGTCAAATATAAAAAACGTATGAAGCAATAAGAGAAACAAAATGTGCAGAGCGGGGGTACGCGAGGACTGGAATTGAGAACCGCTGCTGTAAACTGCACTGGCAGCGAACAACTTCAACAGTAGTGTTTTTTCCACAATGGCCATGTAGTGGGTCTATGGTAATTTCTCACAGTTCTCTGCTATGGACAAACACTTCGAAGCCAGATGGCACAGATAGTAATGTAACCTTCCTGCCATTGGAAGATCTGTGGCATTCGTCCTTCCTGTTTCCTTCCTTCCCTTCTTTCCTATCAGGGTACTTGGACTACGAACAAACAAAAGAAGCGAAATTGAGTATACAACTCAACCATGATCAGTTTCACACAGACAAGCTCAGCCCTGTTTTCCTCATTACTGGATGGGCTACTAATCATAGGCTGTAAAATCTTAACACAACTTGTTTCCTTCTTCACTGAAAGAACTGTCACATAAGAAAATTTGTTAAAGGAATTCTCCCCTCTTGCTCTTCAGATGAATAATCCTATGACAGATCATGTAAAAAGTAAGGTGGAGTGGGATCCAAAGAGAGGTTTCAAGATTCCCCTGAAACCTTATGACAGCTACCAAATGATTACATGTATGACCAGTGTGGATGACAAACAATTTTCATCAGTCTACATGCTCTTAAGGATAAGTGAGTCATTTTAATTAAGGAGAAAATCTCAGTTATGCAATTACCTTTTGAAATCTGTCATTAAAAATTACAAAAGCTTTTTTCATGACATAACCTGGATTCATGTTGGTACCTCCTGTTCTCTGTGCCTAGCGGCGGAGCTGAAAAACATTGGCATGAAACCAGAACGACCAAAAGTAGTGGTTGGTGACACCCTGATCCTCAACTGCTCTGCAGAGACCACTTACAATGGCATAATTGATTTTGAGTGGCAGTTCCCTAAGGGTCGGGTGAGTTATCAGGAGATGATAAGATGCTAAAGATGCTGGAGTTTTACCTAAAGCCATTCAGTATTATATTAATGCTGTACCCATTCAGATCTGCTACCTGATTTGAACTGGCGTTATGTAAAATTCGGCCTGACATCCTCTGAACTTCCTGTCTTGCTTTCAGATCAATCACACTCAAGAAATGAAAAAGAATAGGGTCAAAGCTGGTGAAAACGTCATGATGAGTAACGCATTAATCATGCCTAATGTGTCAATGGAGGACAAGGGCACGTATGTGTGCATAGCATCAATTGAAGACAAAAAGCTTCATTATTCAACTAAAGTAACTGTATACGGTGAGGGTGTAATGTTGTGCCTCTACTTTAACACACTTGTGATTTTGTTGAAAAGTTTAATACATTTCTTGGATTTTGTTTTTCTGTTTGTCTCTACAGAGCATCCATTCCTCAATGTGACCCATAATAAACGCAAATTCATCTCTACCATAGAGGGTAGAAAGGTACAGTTTGAGCCACGGGTCAATGCCTTGCCAGCACCAGACAGAGTGTTGTGGTAAATTCATGCTTTCCATTTAAAAAAAAAAGAAAAGAAATGACTCAAATGCCATGAGAGAAATTTAATGTGTAGCAACCATGTAAATGTATTCCACTAGTAATGAATTTATTGTATGATTATTGCATTGGTGGGGCCTTATTTTTTTTGGTATAGGTACAAAGATGGAGTTGCCATTTCAGAAAATTCCACATGTTATGAGACAGCGGGCTACAGCCTCACCATAAAACAAGTGAGGCAGAAGGATGCTGGGATCTTCACTATCGCTCTGTCAAACCAGGAGAGGGGTCTCTACAGAAACCTCAGCTACAGGCTGGACGTCAGAGGTAATGCAGAAAGCCTGTAATACGATCATCTGAGGGTTTTCTTTGCTTCAAGCAATACTGGACCAAATAGTGCTGTCACAACTAAACACTAATATAAATAGCTAACAGCACAAAATCAAATAGTTTTAGTTGCATTTATTTACATATCAATGAAGCTAAACAGATTCTTTAGCAAATTTTGAATGTGTTGGGGAGAAATCAAAGTAAGCATATGAATTGATATGCTCATCTCAGAAAGTTCTGGAATGTGCTGTCAGAGCTGAGATTTTGATAATGTGCTGCCCAGATGTCCCCTTAATTTTTGGAAACATTCCATCCCACAATGTACACAACTATGATTGCCTTCTTTGGCCTAATATAAAATATTTATTTTAATGTGTCTCTGTCCTCAACCTGAACCGAAGTATATGACATCATTACAGACCCAAAAGCAAAACCAAGAACCAAGGTCAAAAACAATGGAAACGGTGTTAAAGGGGTCCTATTATGCTTTTTCACTTTTTCAACTTTAGTTAGTCTGTAATGTTGCTGTTTGAGCATTAAAAAGATCTGCAAAGTTACAAAGCTCAAAGTTCACTTCAAAAGGAGATATTTTATTTAATAGAAATCGCTTTTCAAAAACTACAACGAACGACTCGTTTGGACAACCTAGTATGAGAGCCTGTTCTAGTACACCCCCAAAACAAAATCAAGACTTTGTAAAAGAGCATAATAGGACCCCTTTAAGAGATTTCTGGTTGAAATTGTTTTTGGGCATCATTCATCAAATCCTGAAATCTGCCTGATGCTAAATCTTCAAACATGCTCTTTTTCTCCGTCATGAGCACATATGCTCTTCAATGAGATCCATAAAGGCAATATTACTCCCTGAATATTATATAAGCCTGAATATTCTTACTCTTCCATTTTGGAGTTATGAGGTGAAAGTTTTTTTAGTGTTAGCCAATGATCTGCAAATGATCTGTATTTTTTTCTCAGACTGACCATTTAAATGATTGATGATCTGTATGTCCATACGCACACAGTGAAGCCAAAGATCTTTGAGGAGGATGTGGCTCCAGGGGGCCCACAAGCTTACAAATATAACGAGGGGCACCAGCTCACCTGCACTGCATTTGGGATTCCCATGCCAAACATTACCTGGTTTTGGCAGCCGTGTGACCCCAGCCCTGATCTTACAGAGTAAGTCAATAGTACACAAAAAAAAATACTGATTTTTGTTACTGTTCATATTCAAATTTACTTTGAATCAACAGGTCTTCTGTTTAGTATTTTACATCAGATAAAAGATTTCATTACTTCTAATCACATTTCATTGTGTCAAAAATTGTGACAAGGATTGGTTTTTCTTGTCATTTTCACAAATTTTGGTTTGTGGCTCCCTAAAGAGTTGTCACCCTCCTACATTGAAGATCTCTTTTCTTGCTGAGGTGTTAAAGTCAATGATGAATGTCGGCCTTTACCCACAGCTCTCATTATTCAAATTAACTGCATCCGTTTCCTTGACATCGGTCCAAAGTAAAGTATGCTTATTGATGAAAAATAGCCCCAGAGCTACATTTTGCAGTCATTGGCTCTGTAAATGTGAGGACGATTTATTGTTCTCATTCCCCAAGCCTGCATTGTGCTATAAGCAAGAGTATTGCAGTGTAAATGCCAGCCTTTTAGTGAACCTTTATAAACGATACAGATGTCCACTGAACTTAGTTGGTGTGTCATGACAAGATTTTCTCATAATTGAGAGTAATTATTTGTCGAGGGGTACTGCCAAATTTGCGAAAAAAAATACTTTGGGCTTTGTACCACAGTGCCAAAATACCACTTTGCCTGTTCTAAATATAATCAGCGATGGCAGTAAACACAACAGCTCATAATATAGATGGTGAGAAGACTTGATTTTCAACATCTAATGAGAGAGGTACATTGGAGAGTAATTGCAATGCCCTAGTTGGAAGAAAAATAGAACCATTCTTCTTTTATTTTCAGTAAAATTAATTTATTTCTTGAGCAGTGACCAAAAAGAAAAATTAGCCACGATCACACCGCCAGATTTGGGAGTTGTGGGAGTGAATCCCCTACATGATCATATTTTACTTAATGTGTCATTAAGTGTCCATAAAATTCAGTGTTTTCAACGGTCCCATGTTAGAGATATCATTATTGTGCTCATGAAGGTGATCTCTCAGAAGTCTTCTTAATCAAGGGGCTGTGAGAAGTTATCAGTGGTCCCTTGTTGACCATGGAGTTCTGGGATCAGCCTTATCTCAGCCGGCCAGAGAGTGGGGGTGTTTCCTTTGAACGGTGATGCATGACTCAGCCCTTCCTGTCACGCTGCGGTTTCCTCTCTGACATCGACTCTCATTAATCCGATTGTTCCTCCACTCAGATTGATGCAAAATAGGTCTTTGGTCTCCTGCCGGTTCAAGGCATAAAACACATGACTTGATACATGGCCCTCAAATTCAGAAAAAAAACATTAATTCATCAGATTCCATGAAACCTTGTGTTTAACGGCAGAATATAAATGTATTTCAAAGACGTTAGCTAAAAAAGTTAATTTGCCCAACAGTTTTCCTCTTTTTTTAAGGGAAGACCTGTTTTCTGTTTCTCACTTAAAGTAGAGGGTATTCGCTGAAATCTTCTGACTTTACGCCTTGGTATTTCCTTGTGTACATCCTGATTTGATGTCAAAAGGCAAAAACTTCATCTGTAAACTCCAGAGCAGAAATGTCATTCCTTATTACAAATGTTGGTTCAACAATTATGATTTCTCTAAATGTGTGTGTTTTTGTCTGATAGGTGCAAACCTTACACTGATCCTCTGCCTGTTGGAGATGTCACTGAATCGCACAACCATTATCCTCATAATTTGATTAAGGATGTCAGGAACAAGGTTGAATTATTAAAAAGTAAAAACAAGGTATGGATTACAGTATGTACAATTTTGTTATTTATTAGTAAAAGTTTTTGCCTTCAAAGATGCACTTCTTTTCGTTCCCTTAATTAAGTTTTATGCATAAAGAAATGAGTATACTGTATATTTGAAATAAATTTTCAGATCACGTACACTCACATGAGGTAAAAAGTAGCTGTTTTATTTTACATGGAGCAGGTTTCATCATGTTGAGCTGACATGACCAGAGAGTGTTACTTATTTTATCTTGGTAATAACTCCTGTTATTGCTCTCATAATGGGAATGCTGCATTGCTTCAGTGGTATTGGTAACTGAAAATTTTGCACGATGCTACACCCACATAGCTCAGTGTCAGCATATTGTCATACTCTGTTGATGACAGAAATATTGCTAACATAAAAAATACTGAGTGTACCTTTAAAAATGTTTAAGATTTGTTAGTTAAAAATATGCATTCTGACTGTAAATGAAATAATTAAGTGGAAATGTATTAGTTTAAATGTCTGCAAATCTAACTTTTAAAACCAAAGCTTTTACATAATGCAGAAACTGGGTTGCTAATCCAGATTAATGATACTTTCAGTTTCATTTTGGCCCAAAATAATTGACCTCAAAATACTGCAGTTTATATGTTCATGGAAAAATGCTGAATTAGAAGTGAACAGGAAGAATTTAAATCTTATGTAAAGCATACATCTGTCTTCCATTTAAAACTCATAAAGTCTATTGAACATTCAGATTACTAAATTGCCCTTTTAGAAATGATTTTGCGAAAATAGGTCTCAATATAATAAAGAAACCACAAAAAAAGCAACAATCTGCATTATGTTTCGAGACAGTGCATTTATCTGCTCATTTTCAAACACATGAGATTACTTTAAATGCTATTTATGTACAGGGCAGTCATTGTGGTCCCTCCAAAGTGTTGAAATCACATAAAAATGTGTGAAAAACAAGAGTGAGCTTTGAGGACACAGTAGAGTTCAAAATGGCCCTGTTTTAATTTGACTGTATCACTTCAGGGATGAATCCAGACTGCTACAGTATGCATAGTTGTTTGCTTAGACAGATCTCCTATGTCTGTCACTCTATCATCCTTTGCTTGTGCTGCCAAATGTTACAGTGAACACTGCAGACATTATGGAAAACATCCCAGGAGGCCTTATTACCAAAATCACTCACCCAAAACTTAATGAAGCACAGGTTTTCATTTGTAGCATTCCTCTACACTTCAGTGTGACTGTACATAGAGCTGCTGTAACCTACCAGGTCAAGCATGTATTCAACTGCAAATCATCAGCTGATTTTTAGTAAAGTGATTTTTAGTCACCACCAAAAATATAAGCTTACAAGATTTTCCTTACAGCAAGATTTATGTGACACAGTATATTCTCACAGTAGGAATGTCATTTAAAACCAATCATGCCTGCCCTCCCTTGTGCTAGGAGGTTCGCTCTCACTATGGAACAGGTGTAAATTTTGAGGTTAGCTGTATTTAAAGGCTTTTGTGACAAATAGATGATGCTTTGCAGGGATGAAGCACAGCGGTCAGTGATAACAAGGCCCCATTTAACAGGGTGGGATTTGTTTAGGGTGAATTCCTTTCTGTCACCTCATATAAATTTTCCAGCACAGTGAATAACAGCCTGGTAAGAGTCCATCTGTGATGGTTCCTTGTAACCCCAAAATAAGAAAGGGCCGTCACAGCAACTAAAAGACAAAATAGGACGGTCACTCTGAATTTCTGACTGCATCATCAGATCGAGAGAAATGCAAAATGTCACTCAGGAAATTTGTCACTGAGTTTATCCAAAACATCGCATGAATAATGTGCATTCTATAATGAAATTACTTAACATAGAATAGAGGCATGTTTATGCTGAAAAGTATGCCAATTATGCATCTTGTTTTCAGGTATATTTTAGTGCAGTGTGCCAATTAAAATCAGCTACATGTAAGACTAAACAGCGACATTAGTCCACAGATTTACATTAAATGAGCTCCACACCTCATTTCTGTCTGTACAGCAGCGTAATGTGTACAAAAGAAATCCTAACCTTTTGTAAAAATTATTTTCCATTAAATATTACTGTTCTACGTCTTTACAAACTAAAACAGACAAAAAATTTAAATACGTGTTGTTCAGAGCCAAAGCCATGCTTCTTACGTTTCAAATATGTCTTATAAACAGTCTGTGAACTCCAGGAAGTAAGCTGAAAAATGAGTATATTGCTCCAGAAATACACCTGGAATGTTTCATACCTTTAATGTGACAGCCAGGAAAACAGATGTAGTTTGAAACTGAAAACAGAGCTCTGGAATCTGGACTTTTGCCAAAAATCTGCATTATTATTATGTCTACATAGGCTATTAATGAGTTCCACTTGAATGGTGACAGTATTAAGCCAGGCATTTTAAATGTGTATCAGGAAATGACATGGAATGCAGGCACACTTTCTGTGCTGTATTCTATGTGCTGCATTTGGCCTTAAAACTCCAGATGTAGTCTACTAAATGTGTGAGGCTGAGGAGTGTAAAAAGGTCCAGTTGTACAGTAAATTAGTCCTATGACCCATCTGCTTACAGGAAATAAATGGCTCAAAGTTTAATGTCATAGGTACTGAGATGACATGATATTGTGTTATTCCTGTTAAAATAATATGTTTTCAAATTACTGGTTTACATTCCTAATGATCTTCATCCATTTCCTTAGACTGTAAGCATTCTGATGGTGGAAACAGCTACTGTGTCAGGGATCTACTCCTGTACAGCAAAGAATGAACTTGGGAACCGGACCATGAGAATCCCTTTCTATGTGTATAGTAAGTGGACCGTTTTAATTTACTGAAAGTAAAAAATCAATTTTTAAAGATTTATGGCAACTTGTTTCTGATTTAAATTTTTGACAGTTTTCGTTAATTTGATTCTACCACAGTACATATCCAAAATACCAGGGTAGTACCATGGTGCTTTTACTACCTTTTTTGTAAATGTACCCAGATTTTATTTTCATATATTAAAAAAATACTGTAAAAAAATGTTTGGTTATCCTCACACTCATAATCATGCAGTATGTCATTAATCTTCACAGAACATTTTGTATTTTTAAATTATCTAATAATATTTCACAAATTCCATCTTTGTTTTGACTGCTAATAGTCTATTAACGCTGTGTTTTATTACATGATGAATTCTGGCTGACTTGTAACTGTACTCTGGGAAGTTAACATGTGTTATGCTTATGATAGAGCAGTACTGAAACAATTTTGCAGTGAAAAAAGCTCCTCACTCCAGGCAAAGGCTTGCAACTCTGCTCCCTGTTCTGCTTACATACTCTGGAATGGACTGTGGTACTGGAATGCCAATCTCTGTTTTATAATGAATCACTGTTATGTGTAGCTGACTGGGGTCAAATGTGTCTGAAATGAGAAACCCATTCACTGAATTACGTAATGAAGAGTGTGTCGGCTGTCAGAGTACTCAAAGCTGCCTAGATTAGAATGATGAGAAAAAACTAGCTGGAATGAATAGCAGCTGAGACTCGGGAAGCGTGAAAAATGAGAACTGTGCAATAAAAATGGAGACAGAAGATAAAATGGAGGATGTCAAGTGGCATGTCTCCAGAACAGAACAGAAAGCCCCAGAGAATATGCTGTGCTATGCAAGAGGTGAAGATGACTTTGTGCGCAGGAATTTACCTTCACTAGATCAGGCACAGCCGTTCGAGATTGGGCCCTCGACAGCTGTTGCAGGAGATGATGTTACATTGACCTGCAGAGGCACAAGATACCTCTACGACAAGTTGCATTGGTATGGTCCACTGGGCCGCATAGTGCCCAAAGATGAAACCACTCTTCGGATCGAGCCCTACACCATATCTTTGTCTATCAAGTTGCCCAGTGTCTCCAGAAACCACACTCTGGGCTATGAATGCCAGGCTTTAAACATCAACTCCAATAAAGTGGTCAATACAACATCTCTTTTGACTATTAATGGTGAGTGTGAACTACCAAGAACCAAAAAGGTGAAAGCATCAGCGTACATCATATGATGTAATGTAAGACCCAGCTTATGTTACTGATCAGTGAGAAACAAATGGCACTGGTGCGTGAATCGCAGGAAGAGGGGTTGTTGTCGTCATACTTTCAGTTTTATGATTAATAGCCTGTATGGTTGGTTAACAATTAGTGTAAATGCAATAAAATACAATCAATAAAATGTTTTTAAAAAGTATATATATATATATATACTGTATATATATATATATATATATATATAATTATTATAGTATAATGTAAAATACATTAATATACATTTATAAAAAAAATTACATGAAATAAATATTAATATTGAGCATTAAGGGAATTACTGTTTTCATGACAATAAGGCACTTCTAGTAATTTTCATTACTGTATTTAAAGTACTTCACGAAAATAATTTAGAATCAAATGTATACATTTATCTATTAAAGTAATGTTATGTTTTATGCATATATTTAATTAATACATAATTTTTTAATGCAGTAGTAAGAATGGGAGTTTTTTCATTAATGTAGACTTCTGAGAATTGGGATTAAAGTGTCATCAGAATAGAGCCATGATGTTGATGTGAAAGATCTTGGCAGTATTCTTATAATTCACCCTTGTGCATTAATTGCTTATATTGATATCTATAATCAAATAATTTTATAGAAGTGTGGCATGTTAATGAGAAAAATGTGTAACTCGCGTTTTTTGACACAGAGAGGCAAAGGCCCACACTGATGCAGAATCTGACCAATCAGGATGTGAACAGCAGCAGCACCCTGACTCTGGCCTGCTTGGCTAAGGGTATGCCAGAACCCGATATCAAATGGTACAAAGACAAGACTCCTGTCACAGAGGGACCAGGTGAGAAAGCACTAAAGGGATTTATATGTGGTCACAGGTGATATCAGCTATTTTACAGTGACTTTAAATGTAGATCCTTCTATCAGGGATCTGGATCTGTTTTATATGTTGCATCTTTCAATAATGCTTTCAGGTATCACTCTAAAAGATGGCGTTCTGATCATTGAGAGGGTGAAGAAGGATGATGAGGGCATTTATGAATGTCGTGCCAGCAATGATAGAGGGGATGCAAAAACCAGTGCGGTCATTACTGTAGTGGGTGAGTACCAACTATTCACCTGCTTTTATTTCTTTATTCATCATTCATATTATCATAACTGTGCAAATTGTCTTTTGTGATGATGATTCAAAATCTCGTAAGCACTGATTTTCCATATAGTAATGTAAACAGGACAAACAGCCTTTTTTGGCCAAACTTTGAATAACTACTGAATCAGAACGACAGACTAAGGCTGCCAGGAATACCATGTAAATTCCAGACTTTTATGATGGGGGTCTGGGAGTTAAAGTCAGGGTCCTCTCACAAGGGAGTTGACCTCTTCATAGTCTTTGAGGATATTCATTAAATGTTGATATCACCAAAACAAACATGCCCCTACCCCAAAAGGGTCTCGCCCCTATTTTGATAGCTCAGCCCCACACATACGTACACAACCCAGGCAACGATTATGGCGGAATCTGCTGTATTATTTATCTGCTGTATTAAACATATTATCTTATTTTTCGGACACTAACGCTTGAAACAGAAAGTGGAGGAGGTTTAGACGCTCCAGGCTTATAGGGTGTGGAAATGAATGTGTCAGCTGAAGGGAACGTCAATACGATTGCAGATGAACAAACAAGCGAACATGACACACGAGCATATTCAAGCAAAAGCCAGCATATATTAGTTCTGTGAAACAAAGCAAAACCAATGTTACTCACCTATCGAGAAGAAACAAAGCAACCCCGGCGTCCAATCGCAGACCTTCCCGCTCGAGTTCTCTCCAGCGCTGCAAAGCTGATCCGAAATTTACACAGGTCCTACTTCTTGCCTTATCGTTAGCCTTCTTTTGTTCCACAGACATTTTCCTCTTGTTTTTTATCCGCCAACTCTATCCATCGTCGCTCGGCTGGGCTAATGTCCATCCTGTGCACTGAGCGCTCTCTCCTCCACATCATGAGTAGACACGCCCCTTACTGCTGATTGGCTACAAGTTTGTTTTGGTACTCGGCTCGACTCAGTTTTCTAAAGCGTTTTTGAAAAAATACATACCCCACCTTTAATGACCAATGAGAAATGTCTTTAAAGAAGCAGGAGGTTTAATATGAACAAAATTCTTGTCTCTGCACTCCTCAAAACCAACTGCACTGCTCATCTCAGTAGTGAAATTCAGTTACACTGTAAATCCTGTAAAAAACTAGCTTGACTTGATTCAGCAAACCCAAGCCAAACACATTCATTCAAGGAGAGCAGAGTGTGCCTTGAATTCTTTCTCCTTCCTCTTTTGGAAATCAAAATTCCTTTTGCTACATGTAGTATATGAACACGGAGTACATGACAAATGAGAACAAGTGAGCTGGATCCTATCCAGTGGAACGCTGCACAAACATTGTAGATCAAACTCAAATTTGGTGCAAAGGCAGAAAGCAGCACTGCATGACAAATCCAGTTTATATGTTGTGAAATGTGGTTTTGTATTTGGTACACTTGGTATGTGATTACATGTTCAAATGATATTAAAAACATGATTATCTGTGCAGATAAAATTTGTTTGACAAAAACATTGTGATGTCTAATATTTATTAGACAAAAGCATTGTGATGAATATGGTACAGATGGTTCTCTCATTGAAAATATACTGTTTCTGCACACAGGAGAAGACGGTAAACCAAATATTGAGGTGATCATCTTGGTGTCTACTGGAGCAGTAGCAACGTTTCTTTGGATAATGCTCATTCTCTTTATCCGTAAATTAAGAAAGGTAACTAAGGACTTGACAGTAACTATACGTAAACTGTACCTGAACTACCGTAAGATGTTTTTAAAGTTTTTGAAATAAGTAAATACTCTTACAATTAAAATAACTGATTCCTATTTATTTTATTTTTTAAATGCAATTTATTCCTTTGATGGCAAAGCTGAATTTTCAGCAGCCATTACTCCAGTTACGTCTACTCTGAAAACTTTATCTTCTAGTGTGCACACTGATGTTTATGTAACTTACAGTGATTTGTTGTTTTATTTCTGTTACTTAGTCATGGTTTTCTCTCAAAACTCTCAAAGATGTGTGTGAAATTATCTAATCAGAGCCCCAGCAGTCATACAAATACATAGGAAGAATGACAGAACCCTGTTCTATTTTGTCTGAATATTCTGTTTCATGAACTATTTATTTATTTATTTCTACCAGCCAAGTTCAGCAGATTTAAAGACGGGGTACCTGTCCATCATCATGGATCCCGACCAGATCCCCCTTGATGAGCAGTGTGATCGTCTGCCCTATGACAGCAACAAATGGGAGTTCCCCAGAGATCGTCTCAGGCTCGGTGAGTTCTTTTTCAGTCACCTTTACTAGCTAAAAATAGTATTTGTCCTCTGAGAGCAAAGCATCTGATATAAACAGGAATGAACAAGTCCTTCCTGATTCAAAAGTTATTCATTCATAGCTCATTAGACTCATTAGAGATATCATGCTTCGTTTAAGTAGTAACTTTTTCAATATTTTTTATATTTTTCTATATTCAATCAATATAGATGGCATAGCTCATATGACTTTGATTTGGAAGAATTTCATTTAAAATGATTGATTCATATTGAAGTCTCTTTCTTGTGGTACTGAACATGAGCCATAAAATACAAAGACAAACTTACTAATACACAGCTCAACACAGTTGGCTCTTTCTGCTCCTTAATTGCCTTAATCCTCAGGCCTATTGTTTGAGAACGGTGGGCATCAGGGTTGTCTAAGTTTTCAAAAGAAAATATTATGCTTTTATATATTAGCAAGCCGCTTCTGTCTTTCAGTCTTAACTGCTCCATGAATTCTCAGTGGAGGGTAAGTCAAGCAGTCCCAACCTCAGCAGGCTGTTTTAATTACAGCCTCACATCTTTCCTGACAGGGCATCCTGCCTGATTTATGAGCCCCCAGGACACGGCTAGCTCATGTAGACGTTCTCTCTCTTTCTCTCAGGTAAAACTTTGGGCCATGGAGCATTTGGAAAAGTTGTAGAGGCCTCTGCATTTGGCATAGACAAGATTTCTACTTGCAAAACGGTGGCAGTGAAAATGCTGAAAGGTAACTGCAACATGTTATGTTTTAATGGGCTCCAAAAGCCATTACAAATTACAATTTGAAAATTGACATGACATTTTTTAATGACATCAGCTGCATGAACTTCAAAGTATATGCAAAACCTTATGGTAATGTTCTGTAGCAAGATTTGGAGAGTGATCCAATGAGCATCTCGTGCTTCAGTGGAAGAAAAAAACATCTGTTTACACAAATTTACTTATTCAATTAGTGACCTAGAAATAGACCACCAGAGCGTTTCTTTGTTTGAAATTTCAGCTTTAAACTTTATTTTAATTCCCAGATTTTGATTGTGGTTTCAGCCTTTTAGACCTAACAATGTAATGCTATAAGAGCAACAGAAACAGTACAAGAACAGAAAGTACTTAGTTGAATGTAATCAACATTCCTGTACGTTTTCTCACATCACAAATTTCCTCTATTAGACAGAAATGTAAAGCCTTTTTATGGCCACATTGAATACATGGATCTAGTATATTGAATGCTAATGTTAATCAGATATTGAAAACAGTCCATAGTGGATCTTTTGGTATTCGTGCATGTTTCTTGAGTGCATATGAAGATAATTAGCAGCTGTTCAGGGTATTGCATGCCTCATGTGATAGTCCACAGATATAAAATCTTGGACAACAACATACGTAAGTGAACTGAATGTGCAAATACACACGTAGCATTTATCACTGACCCATGAACAGATGTTTCTTAGATCACACCAAACCAGAACCAGCACGCTTCGCGTAATTGGTCAGTGTTTGCTATTTTATTGCTTATTTCCAAAATGTCCACTGTAATACAACAATATCGAGTCAACACAGGGAATTTGTGTTATGTATTCAAATATTTTGCATTAAAATATTTTGGTCTAGTAGGACTGTATCCTCTTGTGGTTGTATTTGTTTAAACTCTGTCCGTCTGGTCAACTGTCTGCAGCATTTGTTTAGTGATGGTGTGTTCTTGCAGAGTGATGAGCGCCGCTCTGGTGGTGGTGGTGTTTTGTCTGCTCTTGATGATGATAAATCTCTGGGCACATTAGATGTGCGTTCCCACTAGTGTTATTATATTAGTCTTCCCTGTGCATTAAACATAGAACTAGAGGCAAGACTGATGCCTCCTTATGCACCACAGGTCACCTCTTAATAAAAAGCAGTTCCCTTCATTTCAATCCATTCTAATTATCAAATCTACTGCTTACATATATTTTATTTCCAGAGTATGATGTGGGCCTGCTAGATAAGCAGTCAATGTTTCATTATTTGCACGATTTTTATCACCCAAAACTTGAAAAATCTAAAAGGCAAAGGAAAAATTTGTCTGCCCCCAGTTTGACATCATGAATAGTCTTCATGCTGGTTTCATTCCTTCCTCTACTTTGAAACAAGGAGCGCCGATATTCCTCTCAGTAAAAGTCACTGCGAGGTGTCTTTGGTATGAATCATGTACGAATTACTGCTCAACGTTGAACATAGCTCTCCTGTGTCATTTTGATGGGTCTAAACCACAGGAAACCTGACGTGTTAAAACAACAGCACCCCAGTCTGACTTCATGACCTCAGAAGGTCACCAGGATAGTGTTCCTGACCACATATTTCTCTAGAATGATGGTCAAACTTCCAAGAAACTGAAAAAGTGCTGTTTCTCTCCTTTAGACAGTTTATAACAATGTTGCCGCCAGATGTTGATCTGCCCACTATAATTTATGGCGTGCATTATGTTGTCTGTTTAAGGTTCTTTTAAACACAAGGACAGGCTTTGAACTTTAATTTTATACTTTCCAGTGATTTCCATGTGTGAACGTGATGTTTATCCTGATTATCAAAGCGCTGCTCAAACAGTTTTGGTGGCATGATTTAATTTTTACCCTTTTTTATTTATAGGACAATTATAAATAATAATATATATAATATAATAAAAAATGATGTATCTGTGTAGATAGAGAGAGAGAGAGAGAGAGAGAGAGATCAATTATTTTATCTATATTTATATAGCTATATTATATTTTTTGTATAATTAAAAACATTTAGCATTTTAAATTTTAAGTCACAATTGTGTCAAGATATTGATAGAACATCTCATATCCATTTGAAACAACAGTAACAGTAACTGAAAGCTCAGCCTTTTGACAGGAGACCTGAAATACAACAGCATTCTTGAGACCACTTCAACATAATCATACATTTTCATTCCAAACAAAAATCCTTTCAGAACATGTAAGACATTCCATTAATTAGTTTTTCCTCTTATCCTCTCCTCCAACTTCCTCTACACTCAACAGCCGGAGCTACAAATAACGAGTGGAGAGCTTTAATGTCTGAACTGAAGATTCTGATCCACATTGGTCATCATCTCAACGTAGTCAATCTGCTAGGAGCTTGCACAAAGCGTGGAGGTAAGAGGAAGCTGACGGAGAGAATTCAACCATGGCGATATGAGAAATTTGTACAAGTTTTGAAACTTTTTCCTCTCTGTTTTTACATTTGTTTGGTGTACGCTCAGGCCCACTAATGATAATCGTGGAATACTGCAAGTATGGAAACCTTTCCAACTACTTGAGAAGTAGGAGGGGTGATTTTGTGGTTTACAAGGTAAGCAGAATATCTCTTGTACATTTATGCAATGATTTAACATGATGATGCATTATATTGACGGGAATGTGTGCTGATAACATCCACAGTCTCAGGACGGTAAGGCTCTGCGTTCCAGCTCCGGGTGTGATCTGAGCGAGCTCATCAAGCGAAGGTTGGAGAGCGTGGCCAGCACCGGAAGTTCAGCCAGCTCTGGCTTCATTGAAGATAAGAGCTACTGCGACTTGGAGGAAGAGGAGGAAGGTAGCGACTGAGTGTCTTCCTTCCCTTCTCCCCTCCCCACTCTCAACCCCTGCCTCACCTCCACCCCACCCTCTCTGCTCTCAAGGCTCCGCTGATTGTTTTTTCCCCCTCAGTCTGATAGGTGGCTTCCTCAGGGGTTCATAAACACAACTGATATTTTGTACGAGCTACTGTCACCCACTGCGCGCAGAGCTTTTTCTAATTTCCTTCCCCCAGACCAGAGCTAGTCTGCTGCGGGTACATTGGGTCGTGCTGTCCCATGCCGGTTATTTCTGGTTTGACAAACTGTTTACTCAGGTGGATGATCCACCCACAAGCCCCTCACTTGAGTATCATTGACAAAGTGCACGTCGCAGTCCGCATCTAAAAAAAGAAGCCACGTTTCATTGTGTCTCCCTTTTGGATGTGTCTGTAGTAAACAGGGCAAAATATATTACAACTTTATTAAGGGATTGAGAGAGGATCCAAACTTTACAGCACAGACTGGTAGCAAAAGTAATTCTTGGAAGTTTCTTTTTTTTTTTGCCTGCCAAAACTTGCATAACAAAACAATGGTTTTGATTTAGCTAATAGCCTTTTACCCTTTTCTTGCAGAGCAAGAGGATTTGTATAAGAAAGTGCTCACACTAGAAGACTTGATTTGCTACAGCTTTCAAGTGGCTAAAGGCATGGAGTTCTTGGCTTCGAGAAAAGTAAGAGTCTCAAGATTTCATGAAAAAGATCTCTAACCCTTGTAATGTATCATTGTATACTTAGTTTGTTATGGCAGCCCATTTTAATAATAATAGAATATGAAAACCCAGATTACTTTATTGATCCAACACACTCATTCACACACATCCAACAGATGAGATTAATTGCCACATACTAAAGATGCAGTTTAGCATATGTGGTTTTATCTCACCTCAGGTCAGAGTTTCCCCGATGGCAGTTCCATATGTTTTACATTAACACAGCTTTCCATCTTGTGCTTTATCTGACAGCGTAATGCCACACATGGTTCAAATAAGACACAAAACGCATCATTACTACAGTCCCTTTCCCTGGTCATGACACTGAGAGTAGAAAGAGCATACAATTAAATCCTGCTATTACAATAAACTGATAGATGAAGTATGGTAAAACATAATGTAATAGGATCTCTCTTTTACTTCTCCAAGTGTATTCACCGAGATCTGGCTGCACGTAACATCCTTTTGTCTGAAAACAACGTTGTGAAGATTTGCGATTTTGGACTTGCAAGAGATGTATACAAGGACCCAGACTATGTCCGCAAAGGAGACGTAAGTGTGGAAGATTATCCAATTACTTCATGTCAGTCATGGTGCAGTTAGGCTGTATAATGCACACAGTGTTTCAAAACTACTTAGTGTGATGGACGCAAATGATAACGGTCCAAAAACCACTGACACTGTGAATGTTCATCTGGAAAAAGATTAATTAATGCCAAGAGTCTTTGGTGTGCTGTTAGTCATTTTATAAGCCCTGATAATATTATTCTGGTCAAAAAATGTTTTCTTATGGTCAAATGTGAGCCAAGACGTCACACAGATTGTATAATCAAATAGACAGTGTTTTATAAGCTACACATTGTTGAATGTAAATTAATATTGGGAGTTGTTCCGTAACAGGTGAGAGTAACATGGTCCGCTTATCCTTTTATAGGCCAGACTTCCCTTAAAGTGGATGGCTCCAGAGGCGATATTTGACAAGATCTATACCACTCAGAGTGACGTGTGGTCTTTTGGAGTGCTTATGTGGGAGATCTTCTCTCTTGGTAAATATCATCGCTGTCCTAAGAGCGTAACTCACATTCTCTTTATTCACCTATTCATTGGAGACACACACAGCACTTTTGTAACAGTTCAGGAACTTGTAGCAATTAAAATAGTTTCAAATACTCTCTAATGTTTTATTTTATTTTGACTGTTATCACACACTGTCTTGATTTAATATTTTGGGGAGATTCGATTATGAAATGATCAAAGAATAATTTCAAGCTTTTATGATTTCAGGCGTTCAGTTCTTGGAACAGTGTTTTCGGCTCTGAAGTTTTCCATGAAACAGTGTCGGCTTTTCCTTCCTTTCTTCTATAGAGACGTGTCTTAGACTTTTGTTTGTTTGCTTTACTGGTTCGGTGCATTTTACACCAAAGCAAAAAGCCCAGACAGGATTCAGCACCCATTTCAAAGTTAAACACATGAAGTACTGTAGGAAGGCAACTCAGCACATGCTGTGCTTCATCCAAATAGAAATAAAATGAACTTGAGGGTACTCAATCAAAGACACCTGGCACAAAGCAGGCTGCTCATGAGGTGCCCTGCGCTATCAACCTCCTCCAGATGTGGAGGGCTATAACTGTCAGCTGCTGTTAAATTTTCCTTTGGGAACAAAAAGGATTGCGTTGTCAGCTTGAAAAAACTTTTTTCATTCCACTAGTGCAATCTGTGAACTTCAACAGTGTGTTTTTAAATCATACATAGAGGTTGTAAAACAGGAATTTAAACAGGGAGAGTGTGTCTGAACCCCGAACGTTATCAGGAAGGCTATTCCAGAGTTTGGGAGCCAAATCTTCCATTTGATCAGGTTTTATTCCCAACTGGAAATGTAAACCCACAGTTACCAGGCAGCATTTAATGTAAATGTCTGCCCCCCTCCGTAAATATACTATAATTTTTAATGGTGTATTGTACAGTGTCGCTTTGGCCACTTTGTCATCAAAGGCTCTGAGCAAACAACTTTAATGTCACCATTCATATATGTATGTATATATACATTATTTATATATTATATATATATATTGACAAGTCTTCTGTGTTGTGTTAGTTTCTAGATTGATACAGAAATTTTTTTTTTTTTCTCAATTTATTTTTTGGTATTTTTGCCTTTTTATTAGGATAGGAAAGTATATATTGACAGGAAACAAGGTGGGAGAGAGAGGGGGGTTAGGATTGGGAAAGGACCGCGAGCTGAGACTCGAACTTGGGTCACCCAAAGTGCAACAGCGTTATGTCGGAGCACTGCCCATGAGGCTATCAGCGCCGACACAATACAGAATTTTTTAATTGCACATTTCTCTGCTTATTTGGTCAGTAATAGTGTAGAAATCAAAAGTGGTAAATATTTTTTTTTTGGCATTATAACTTTTTCACAATAACATCAAAGCATAACACAATGCAAGGTTTTTCACAATACTAAGCAACCACTAAATTGTATATTTTAATCCCTAAAATTCTAGATTATTAATGTGGTTTCAGACTTTTGAATATAAATGTGTTTTTAAAGATTTGCCTTGTAAATGCATAACGAATAAACCAGAAACAACAGTAAAATTCCCCCAAATCTACATTCACACTGGGAGCAATGAACTCTGTGGGAAAATAGTAGGGCGTCATTTCACGTTAAAATAAAGCAACATTTATAGGAAAACACAATATAAATAATCCATTATCAGTGATATAGAAGGAATAGGATCTTAACTGATGACTCTGAGCTGTCACAACCACTGGGCTACACTGATTTAATTTGGTGTCAAATAGACTAACACGAAAAGTTTAGAAAAAATATTATTGCTACTTGATAGTATCCATGGGAGAAAAGTTTGCACCGCACCCAAAGTACACTCTCATGTTTTGTGTTGTGGAATTGAATTTCTTGTCACAGTTTTTCTAGGCACGCCACATCTACTGCACTGTATTCCCAAAGTTGCAGGAGATTTCAAGTGCTGTTAATGTATTTGTTTTTAATGACTACCTAATCTATGTCAGAAGGGTGTTTTAGATCATAGTTTAATGAAAGATTGACCTTTTCCAAGATTCATTGTTATGATCTGCATATTTTAGTGGTTATCAGATATTTTTAAAAGGATTTCACTCAAGTAAATGAAAATATTGTTTCATGAATCATGGTTTTTGCAAGTGTGCAGCAAAGCCTCAACAGTCTACAAATTCACGCTGTCTTAATAATTTAGTGTTTCTGGAGAAAACAGCTTTGCGTAGAGTTTCCAAGTTCAGTCAAATCGGCCCTGCTGATGCTGATTGTGCAGAGGTCTTTCCATTGATCTCTCTGTGCTCCCAACCCACATCACAGTTTAGTGAGTTTCTTGTAAGACCCTTTGAAGTGGCCAGAGCTCTATTTCATGGAAAAGTCTTGATAACCCCATTATTCTCTTTCTTCTCCCCAGGTGCCTCCCCTTACCCTGGCTTACACATTGATGAGGAATTCTGCTGCAAACTGAAAGAGGGCACCAGGATGAAAGCTCCTGAATACTCCTCCTCTGAAATGTAAGAGTCACTCTGCTTGTGTCACTAATGTCAGGCAGTCCTGATTTGAAAGCTCTTTGTCAACTATACATGCAATTGTTGTGTAACAATTGCCATGTTGAGTACTGAGTATTTTTATCATTTTTGAAGCTTTATTGGCACAAATTATTTATTTTTGTTGTGAGAAATAGGTTAGATGGTATGTTAATATATTAGATAAACTATTATGTAACAAAAAATAATCTAGCATAAACACATGCCTGTCCCACTTTGAATGTATCCAACAATTACAAACATGCATAATTCATATATTCAGAATTTTTCCACAATATGTTTAATTAATATTTAATTTATTGTAGAAAAACCCATTTTTAATTTACACAAATTATAGTGTTGATAGCATTCACCAGTCTCAACCTGCAACCCTGTTACCCATTGTATAATAAGAAAACATTCTTTTTTATAAAGGTTTAACTATATATATATATATATATATATATATATATATAATATTTGCATGCCTGTTACCTATTCTAGCACATGCCACTGTACCGTACCAAAGTATGCATGGAAATAGGTATTTAAAGGTATTTATTTTTTGAAATGTCTCTAAGTAAGTTCCTTCTGTGTGATCCCAGGACTTTTAAACAAACTTAAAGTGAGCCCAAAACAAACCTCACCTCTCTCTGTAACCCCCTACAAAACTCTTTAGGGTTATTAGCTGAAATCTGCACTCTGGGGAAAGAAACTCTTCTCCTATCGATACAGTTGAAATGAGTAAAAATATCTAATTTCATTGCTTTGACACAAGACTGAAGCCTTAAATGGAAACAGATCAATTATTCACTGAGTAAAAGAAAAGGAGCAGCTTCTGATTGGCAGCTAGTTTATAGTGCAGTTGATGTGTGCTAGGGATCCATTACTAACTTACACCAATGCAGTTGAAACTCAAGCTCACATTAAAGGCTTCGGTCTTCCCAAGCAGCAAGGGGTGGCCAAACACAGTGGCAGGGCCCCTGGGCGTCATACAGGGAAACTCACTGGCAAGATACTCCCATTGTGATTACAGGGTTAGAGAGCAAGCCAAACCAAAATCTGAAAGTTTTCAGATGTAACAAGATATGAGAGAAGAGGTCATGGTATCAGTTTTAAATGTGGAAAGGAAGTGAAGCGGACAACTTCAGATTAGTGTTGCTTTTAAATAGGTGCACAGACCTGAATCGCCTCATTCTGAGAAAGAATATTCACAGCCTGTTCTCAATAACAACCCCTACTGCTGTCAAAGAAGTGCTCTACTCAATCTTCGTTTTGAAACTAAAGTTTTTATATCTGATATTCTGTAACTGTATCATACCCACTTGGAAACCTGAACAGAGCACTTATGTTTTAAACATAGCACGTAATGCGAGTTGTCTCACATTTGCAATCACACACTCCAATTGAACATAACAAGAGGTCATAAAAGATGGTGATATGAGATGACCTACAAAATGCAGTCCAGACCTCAGACCTGAATTGAATTCGGCCCTCATAAATACAGCCTTTCTGATGCCAAGTCCTCAAAACCCAAAGGTCTTTCCATTCTGCTTCAAAGAAATTGTCAACTAGCATTGCAGATAAGGGTCAGTTTAATATACTGTATCACCTTTAGCACTGATAACACTGTTCTTCAAGAGAGAAGAGATGGACGGTGAAGTTATGTGCTGGCCTCAAGGTTAAACATTACTTTATTTCCGACCCTGGGAGTGACCCTGACCAAACTTTTTTTAAGTTCAAACTTTTATTGTAAGTGATGAGAAGAAAGCAGCTCAGAAATCAAAAATCTGACCGGGTAGAATCATCTGTCTAGACTGATTCACCCATTTAATGATGAACTGGTTCCCACTGTCCCACAGGCTCATAACTATTCAATACACTGAACTAAATGCTATTGGCTGTCATTAAAGGGATAGTTCACACAAAAATTAAAATTTGATGTTTATCTGCTTACCCCCAGGGCATCCAAGATGTAGATGACTTTGTTTCTTCAGTAGAACACAAACGAAGATTTTTAAACTCAAACCGTTGCAGTCTGTCAGTCATATAATGGAAGTGAATGGGAATCACGGCTTTGAGAGTCCAAACAAACACATTGATGTGTAAAGACACGAAACGATGGTAATGCACTTATAAGTCTGCGATCCGCCGTAAAGCAAGAAGAACACGCTTCACGCGCCTGCTGTTGAGAACGCGCTCAGGACAGTTCGGACATTGAGGTGAATCAGAGGTAAAAAACGATATAAATACTGTTCAGTTTCTTGCACAGACCGATCGTTTCGTGTCTTTACACATCAATGTGTTTGCATATGTTTTTTTGACTCTGAAAGCCGTGATTCCCATTCACTTCCATTATATGACTGACAGACTGCAACGGTTTGAGTTAAAAATCTTCGTTTGTGTTCTACTGAAGAAACAAAGTCACCTACATCTTGGATGCTCTGGGGTAAGCAGATAAACATTTTTGGGTGAACTATCCTTTTAATGTATCTTCCGTTAACATTTCCATAAGTGTGAGCACAACTTGAGAGGATATAGAACATCCTGGTGTGTCATTGATTTTAGAGGAACCACCATTTGCCATTTTTCTGAACTTCCTGTTAGTTTAAGGAGTTGCTCCATCTGGATTCATTAAAATAACCATTTTAGAAGTCCTGCTTCCTCCTCCTAATCTCCTACACAGCCCACGAGTAGAGTACCTCCTCTCTGATCACTACCTAATTCAAACCCAGATGGATATATTAGTTGATTAGTGTAAGGAAGTAATGAGTCATCAACTAGTACAGTCATTTTTCCATACTCCAAATTGCCCAATGTTGTGCTAATCAGACGGGATCAGAGAGTTTCATGGGTAACAGGCTTTATTTATATAATGACCTGTGAGTGCAACAGTATAAACAGTATACAGCTCAGTCATCGCCAGTCATCATTTACTCAAATGCCTGGTGCATTGACGCCCCAGTGTTTCTCAACTGAAACTTAGCCTTCAGATAAACTTAACCATTATAGGCCACTGCAAAATCCAATAAAGGACCCCTTGTGGGGGGAGATGCTGACAGCTCGTGTAAAGCAGGAGGAAGTTCCTCTCAACACAAACTCTCACCCTGAGAACAGTGCAATGAAAACACTCAGCCTCACTCCTCGTGTCACGCACTGAATATTATTGATAACAGTAAATAAATGGATAAACCGGATTTGCAGACTAACCTAGAGGTCAAGGCAAAGGGTGTAATTCATGAGGGTTTGTGTAGCTGCTGAAGAACTGCAATTTATGATTATGGCGTATTAAGCACTCTGTATGTTCAAAGGACATTCTTTAACATGTGCCTGTGTCTCTCCATAGATATCAAACCATGTTAGACTGCTGGCATGGAGAACCATCCAAGAGGCCCACTTTCACAGAGCTGGTAGAGAGGCTAGGAGATCTGCTACAAGCTAGTGTGCAGCAGGTAAGAGAGTCTCATGCACTTCATTACATTGCATGGGTTTCCCACAGACTTTATTTAAATGTTTACAACTCTGACCACAGCAAAACCACAAGGATTTTATGGGATGAGAGATGCACTGCCATTACACAGGCAAAACCATGTTAGACTGTCATTGCAAACTGTGTTTAACAAATAGTCATAGATGAAAGGTGAATATTTTATGAATGGGATGAATGGAAAGATTTAAAGTGAGTTTGGAGTGACTGTAAAGAAATGTTAAGACAAGCAAAGTCACTCATGAAGAAAATACATGTGTACACTACCGTTCAGAAGTCTGGGGTTGGTAAGATTTTTTAATGTTTTGAAAAAAATCTGCTCACAAAGACTGCACTTATCAAAAATACAGTGAAAACATTAATATTGTGAAATATTATTACAATTTCAAATAACTGTTTTCTATTTGAATATAGTGAATAATTTTATCTGTCATCGCTGAATTTTCACATCATCCTTCAGTGTACTTTAGTGTCACATGATCCTTCAGAAATCATTCTAATTCTATTTTGATACTTTGATGAAATCTTTGATGGATTCTTTATTTGAAACAGAAATCTTTTGTAACATTCTAAATGTATTTATTCAATTTAATGCATCCCTGCTGAAAAAAAAATCTCTCCAAATGTTTGAATAGTAGGGTATATGTTATAGCATATACAGGCATAGACATAAAAATGTATTTACATACACAAGTCCCATATTCTCAAGTACAAAGTCATACAAATTCTCATAGATATCCAAAGAAGAACATTTGATGGTACAATATGTTCTGATACAGTTTTCTTAGTTCAAGAAGATAGTGAATCTGATTTTTAATATGGCTTGAAGAGAAGATATGTGACCCTGGATCACAAAACATAAGGGTAGTGTCTTAAGGGTAAATTTTTCGAAATTGAGATTTATACATCATCTGAAAGCTGAATAAATAAACTTTCAATTGATGTATGGTCTGGAATCTGTGGGTGCAAAAAAATAAAAATATTGAGAAAATTGCCTTTAAAGTTGTCCAAATGAAGTTCTTAGCAATGCATATTACTAATCAAAAATTACGTTTTAATAGTAGGAAATACATAAAATATCTTCATGGAACATGGTCTTTACTTAATATCCTAATGATTTTTGGCATAAAAGAAAAATCAATAATTTTGACCCATACAATGTATTTTTGGCTATTGCTACAAATATACCCCAGCGACTTAAGACTGGTTTTGTGGTCCAGGGTCACATATGGTCTCAGTAAAAGACTACACTACACAGCATAGAGAACAAAACATATTCCAAGCCATCTGAATTGGAAGCCATCCAAACTCTCTCTTTCTCACATAAGGAATCAAGCTTAGTGTACTGCCCGGACTGCCCCTAATAACATCATCTCCATAAAACATATTCACACATTCCCTTGCAGATTTATGTTCAGATTCCTCCAGAATCCTATAAAACTATATGCAGGGTGATGTCACAGTTTTAAAATGAGCTGAATGTTTAAATACCTTGTCTCTCTTAGGAGGGAAAACACTACATCCCAATCAACACGGCCCTGTTGACCAAAGCAGACCCCTCAAACCTGAGCCCCACAGAGGAGACTTCCACCAGACCTATCGCTCTTAGAGACTCCGGGACAGCTTGGTAAGATAGCTTTATCTTATCCATTTAACGGATATATGCTCAGACTGATTTGTTTTTGTAATTCAGTTGTTATTAATCACTCAGAATGACAATATTCATGAGGACTATTTTAGAAATCTGTTTTTTGTAGATAAGGTTCTACCATCTATTTTCTGGTTTCCATACATTTTCCTGTTTCAAACATGCGCTACACTTCATCCCAACAGCCTTGAATGCTTGAATGGTTTAAAAGTGAAGGAAAGCACTAATTGGTTCTTGATAAGAAACGGTCCTCATAGGCCCCTCAAGGAATTTCCTCTTTTGCCACAAATGCAGTTTCAGGATTTATGCCTACTTAAGATAATATTTATCCAACCCTTGTGTTTCCATAGGTCCTTCAAGTATATTTGTAGAGAATAGTATCGAAATGCTGCAATCCCTGTTATCCCTTAAGATGAATTTAAAAGATATCGCTTTACCCTGCTGCGCAAAATCAAATTAAAATTATTTTATCCAACACAGTATTGAACTTTTACTTGGAAACTGTGATACCGAACATATCCCTCTCACTGTAATGTGTTTCGTGTATTTGTTTGGATCTGCCAGACATGATGTCATGAGAAACCTTCCACAATGATCTGATATGGAGTATTCGATACTTTCAGGAACATCAAGATCCGCCCAGCGAGTGTGAAGACCTTTGATGAAGTAATCATGGAGAATGGAACCAACAAGCTCCACGAGGTGAAGAGCTGGTTTTTCACACTATCCCTTTCATAAGAAAAGGCACATTACGAAATCATGCAAATATATTGTATCTGTGGTTAAATCATGTTTGGTTGTTCACAGGAAAGCCAGTCGGACAGTGGAATAGGTCTATCTTCAGACGACCTGAAGACACTGAAGCATCTGGAGTCACTGGCCAGACCCCGGAGTTTCATGGCCCGAGCGTGAGTATAGTACATTCACAACAATTTAGACTTTTTGCCTGGACCACAGGAATGGGTAGGTCTGCTGGCGTATGCCCTGGAGACCCTCCCACTGGGCTGGAATGTAGATGCCACAATTGTCATACAGTTTCTCTCCCCCCATCTCCACACGACTCCAGCCACTACCCCTTTTCTTTGCGAGACGTGCCTGCGCGAGAGTCTCTCAGACAATGGCACGTTGGAGAGATATTGCCTAAGGTGACAATCTCAACAGCCAGACAACAAAAGCAGGGCTGGGCGTGTGACTTGTTAAAGCTGGCTGTAAGGTCTGGTGACTAGCATCTTTGTTTGTACCGCCTGGGTCGTAATGGCCTCTGACTCCATCGCTGAAACATGCTACAGATATGGCACATGGCCATCTCATACAATAACATGCCTTTATTTTATTTAGGAAGTATTTGAGAGAATGAGTGTTTAATACTGGTAGTGATTACAATATATTCCATTTAGGGTTCTATTATTTTTGCTACAGAAGGTAAGCTGTGAACACAACTTAAATATATTGAATGCTCAATAAAAATTAAGATGATCTCCTTAAAAACATAGTCAGTTCTTGCCTGAGACCAGCCTAATAATTTATTAACCACAGACTAAAGTGTGCTGGGGTCTGAGACATCATTACTTGTTCATAAATGGGCCCCAGGGCAAATGGCGCTGAAAACTAAAGTGAAGGTGGCCTTTTAAGTTATTAATGGCAGGCCATTGGGCTGGATTAGCCTTGGTTTTGTTAAAGCGTTTGAGATCTGAGACTGCGTTTATGGTCTTCCAGTGCAGCAAAGGCCAGGGTTAATTTACAAAGGTTATCCTCTAAATTGCATTCAAGGCCTTGTGGACTATACGGCATCCTAATATTTGAGGGCAGGGGTTTGGACCACCAATTGCAGCTAGACAAATAGTGATAATCTCTTACTGATTGGAGGTTTATGACTCAGACCTGGAGAGACAAAGTGGTTAACTGACTAATCATGGTCATGCTGTTTAAAAGTGTTCAGTCGAAATATGTGATTGGCATTAGATAAGGGCAGCTGAGTGCAACAGTGGCTACACCACAATGCCAGGGCTATATTATATGATCTTCATCTATAAAAGGATCTTATTTTACGGTGTTGTAAAAAAATAAATAAATACTGTATACTACCACTCAAAAGTTTGGGGTCAGCATGATTTTTTAAAAAGAAATGTATACTTTAATTCAGCAAAAACGCATTAAATTGCTCAAAAGTGACGGTAAAAACATTTACATTTACATAAAAAGGAGTAATGAAAAATCTGCAAAATCCAACACATTAATGCATTAATAAATAAATAATAAATTAATGAAAAAAATAAGAAAAAAACGGTTGAGCAGTAGTGTATAGATCAAGTATTTTTTTAAGTAAAGCTGTCATTATCAAAAAATAATCCCAAACATGGAGCAATTACTTTATAAGAAAAGAAATTGTCCACTGCAGTGTACAAATATGACTGTGAGCGAGTCCACAGAATGATACAAGAGACATGAAAGCAGCGCCAAACATCTGACCGCCGAATGCTGCGATCAACCAGTCAGATTCAAGTGTTCCAGAGAACACAACACCACACTTCCACCATTTTTAAATTCCTCTACTGCTATGATTGATGAGCCAAGTTTAATTACAAATGAACGTAGTCAACAGGTTTTGATTAAAAACACTCTGTCTGGCCTCTGTCAGCACTCCCCCAACTTTGCATGTCCAGTGCCCTCCTCATCCCAACCCGATATGATGAAAAGCTGGGCACAGCCTGCAACCAGCTGGCAAATCCATGCACAAGTTGCCATGGTCACAGGCATGGGAAAAAAGAGCCACTCGGAGCATGTAGAGAATGATGTATATATTGTAAAGAGGCGGCCCCTGCCGAGGACCCACTCAATCACTGTCACCTTTGACCTTCTACAGCTTTACTGCTACGTCCAAGATTCTCCCTCTACATTGTGCCTCTGGATTCCACCTGGTACTCCCACATTTAGTATGCATATATGTGAAGTGCTTGGCACTGACAGCTCTGCTTCACTCTGTGTACAAACCCCAATACATGCCATTTCGCATAGGCATTTACTGCAAATTATTGCCCCTTGAGAGACTATAGACTAAAAGCAATGCAAACTCACAGACTCCCTCCAGGGTGTCTGACCCGTTGACCCCAGATGAAGAGCTATAGCAACACACAGAGCAAAGTACAACAGAATAATACTATTTCAATTGGAATTCATTCAAATCGGTTTGCTTCGTCCACAGAATGAAGAGCAAAAGTAAGGAGTCAGTTCTGCTGGAGGGCGAGAAGGAGAAATACCCACCGCTTGTTCCCTCACTGGACCCGAGTCTGGAGGACTCCTCACTCGACCCAGAGCTGGAATGTCATAGCCCACCTCCAGACTATAACTATGTGGTCCGTTACTCCACACCACCTGTTTGAGTTGATCTGCACACTTTAGCCACCAGAAGTCTCACCCAGTTTTGGAGGATCTGACTGGTTTAGAGATAGATCTCTTGTATTTCCTCCCACTTTTTTCCACTTTATTCTGTACTGGACTGGTCATTCAGAGTTTCACATTTTCTCTTTCTCTGCACTTTTTCAAGGTAGTGTGTGAGTACAGTGGGCTGCCACTCATATCATTGTGGCAGTCTGACATACAAATGGACCACCTCAGGTATTCCTGCAGTCTACTGTGAACACAACAAACACATTTTATTACAATAATGGCACTGTTTTTCCCAGTGAAATAGCATTTTTCATACAGAATGGTGGCTAATTATGAAATCATTTGTTCAGTGGTTAGAACGAGAGGACAAAGGCAATTCTTATTTTATTTCTAGATAAATATTTTATTGTAATGAAAACTGGAATTTTGGTTATATGGTATTTTATTTTTATTATGCTAAAATTATTTCGGAGCTCACTAAAGCTCTTTTTTTGTTTTAGGAAAATATTTTTCTTTAGAATAAATTTCACTTATATTTTACTCTGTCAGACGCAAATGTCAAACAAAGACCATGCACAGATCATGAGTAATTGAATGTGCAGTCTGAAATTCCTTCCCAGAACTCAATCTGAAACACTACGGATGCGCATTGTATTTCCATGTTCTTTTGCTTCTGTCTGAGGGCCGTTTTCCTGAGTCTTGCTCAGTGAAGCTAAAATTAATCACTTTTGTTCCCGCATATAGTATTTTTTATCATCATAGCTCTTAATCTGGATCATTTTAAAGAAATGAGTCAAGCTTAACGTCTTACACATGGCAGGACTCAGTTATCATCCAGTCTATCACTGTGAAAAAGGTTTCTAAAGCCTTATCAAGTAAATTATTCATGCACATTTAATAGGAAACATTCTGTTAATTAGCGATCAAATGTGGACCACAATAAAACGGCCTTGCTCTGTTCAACAATAGTTACACTGCGTTGTGTACTTTCCATATTTATGTTGTTTACACTACTGTATACATAACAGCACGTAATATGTTGTGCAGCTATTAACCAGAGGAACGTATTCTGTTACTGATTCAGTAGTCTTTCATGCTAAAATACTACTAAAGCTTGCAGGGCAGGCTATAATATTGTCAACAGGCTGGTCACTATATAAATGGTCATGATAATTATAGTAAAAACGTGCACACATGTAGGTGCTATCAGTATTAACTCCTTAACATGATGGAATGGATGGGAAATCATTGCATTGGTTAAATCAGATTATATATTGACAGTTGTTAAAGCAGTTAGGCCCGTTATTGCTAATTATTATTAAGTCCAAATACTACATTCATAGTTGATGGACTGTCTTCCAAATCATGAAATGTATATACTGCCAAATGATGCTTTCAATAATGTTATTTTGACTGACTGGTATTTGAGAAGTAAATTTGTATGCACTGATATTTTCTACATATATTTGTTTTGTATTATAATTGTATTTTAATATTAACCAAGCATAAATAAAGATCTATATATTTATATATAGCACCTTTTCAAAGTCATGATTGCATTTGTACTAGTACATAACGATGACAATGGTTTGCCTGTCAAGTACTGCATTCTTCTTCCTATAGCATGATTTTTCCGATAAGGTATATTCCCAGTAAAGGTTAGACTGACTATTATAAGATTCTTGGTGGAGATGGTTAGGCTGCGTGTCATCTGTGCACTCTTCTTCCTGCTCCTTGGTTGCAGAGACGCATTTCCTGAACGGGGTGAGGTGACGGCAGTCTGTCTGTCACCAGGACAATACCTCTGTGAGCAAGAAAAGGTCAGGAAGGGCTTCTCCATCATTCCCATCACAACAGAGCTCCAAACACAAAACTTCCTAAGGGCCAACAGTGCCCCCCAGCTTTGGCGCTAAAGGTGAAAAAGGTGCATATTGTTGCCGTTTCTGCTTGTCATATTAAAGATAAACAGTGTGTGCTTTGTAAAAGTTCACTTGACTTATTGAGGATTGGCGGTGTGTTATTGGCTTGTTATGAAGGTTGTGAGACATGTAAACTGATTCAGGAATATGAGCTATAAACAAACAAGGGAAGGATGTTGGGAGGGTTAGGGTTCATCATATTCTGGCTACAAGCGCAAACATGGCATTCACGCACACCTCATATTTTTCCAAACTCACAGGAAGTACATACAGTCTCCGAGCTCTACAGATAATCAGAGTTCTCAATTTCCTTTGCTCCAAATAAATATAAATATTACGTGATCATGCATCATTTCCTACATTTTTTTTCCATTTTATTAACCAAGAAAAAGTACTAAATAACAAAAAAAAATCTATCTATCTATCTATCTATCTATCTATCTATCCAGCGACAATTATATATATATAATCAAATGTCTGGGGTCAGTAAGATTTTTTTTTCAAGAAATTAATACTTTCATTCAGCAAGGACACATTCAATTGATCAAAAGTGACAGTAGAGGCATTTATAATGTCATAAAAAAATTATATTTCAAATAAATTCAGTTCTTTTGAACTTTCTATTCATCAAAGAATCCTGAAAAAAATATCTCGGTTTCCACAAAATATGAAGCTGCATGCACAACAGTTTTTTGCATTGATAATAGTAAATGTTTCTTGAGTTATGTTAAATTGTAATATTATTTCACAATATATTTTTTTATCATATAAATGCAACTGAGCATAAGAGACATCTATCAAAAACTGGTAATGAGGATTTTTGGCCCTTTATATTATATGGATTGTGAATTGCAGTTTTCGTCTTACTAGTTAATAGTTTATAATGGAATCTTCTAAAATTATCTTTGAGAAAAACATCACGTATGCATCTAATTAAAGGCTCTCTCCTATTGGGACCGTTTTGTTTTTCTCATTCAACAATGTGTAAGTCCCTGCGTTGCCACTTCCAGAGTCCCCTTCCCAAGGAAAATAGCCCCCCGGTGGCAAGATGCTTCATTAATCACTAAAACAGAGGTGGTATATTGCGCGACCTTTGGGAGTCTGCCAAAACACATTCCTGCAATCAGTGACAAAACAGAATGCCTTGAAATCCTATCATACCCCATTCTCCTTCCTATGTGCAATTCCCATTAATGGAGTGTTCTTCCCTCCGCTCGCACTTCCCACGCTGTGTTCTGGTGAGGGAGTGCAGGGAACGGCAGGATCGGGGTTGGGGGGAACCACATCTGTATACCTCTCACATACAGCCTGAGACAATGGGGTAGACCTCACTCACCACAGATATGGCTTTTGCCCACCTTTTCCCAGAAAGGTAGCACCGAAAATACAAATAGCCCCAAATATTTGAATAAACTCCCATGACGCCCAAAGGCAGGGTCAAAGAGTTCTGACTAAATCAAACAGACTGTTTGTCTTAAAAATAGCTGTCTTAGACTTTGGCCTTCAGATCAAAGTAAATTCTTTTTGTCCCCACTGGGTTCCAATGACTAAAAATGAACTGTTTATAATCTGTCAAGAATTCTGACATTGAAAACAATTCAGAAACATCTGATCTACTGCGCGCTATGGGAACTCTGGACTCAAATCTCCTTAAGCACTGAACCAAAGGCTGTCTAAAAGATACTGTATGCTTTTTGACAGAATAACCAAATATTCTCCTGGTTTATGTTGTAAAGAAAAACAAGATGGGATTACTGATGATGAACTCATAAATGATGAATGGCAATGTGAAACTGTTGCAAATGTTGGTAAAGTGGGAAAAGCTTTCAGAATTAACTGAACTGATGGGGGTCTGTAGTTGTATCTGACAGAAATCCTCAGAAAAAGTCAACAGTGAATTTGGAACAAAAAAATAAGGTCTCACCAGTAATATCCATCCATACTGCCTTTATCGTCTTCTCATGCACATATGAATGTTTATGCCACTGCTCTTGAGTATATGCTGTCTTAGAGCAACTGATCTGTTTTGGAATTTGTTGGATACATAATTGTATAACCACACGTGTTGTTCAGTGTTTAGCTATAGTATATTAAAAATAAGATTTTGAGGATATTCTTTAACAAAACTTCTCATGGCATTTATTCATTTCAGATTTTACACAGGAGAATTAAACTAGGGGATGACTGCAGTCTATAAAATCTATGAGAAGAACATTACATCTAACATTTCTGAACTAGCACATATTTCCAATGAAATTTTAAACTCAACGTCCTAATAAATATACATTTAGCAATGTTCTATATGAACAGTATCGTGACCTGATTCTCATTGTGGAAAAGAAAATGAGAAAACATATGATTCATAATTTAAACTATTTTGAGTGCAATCTGTCCCCAAACCATCATACATTTGGGACACACGTTGTTATTTTCAAGTTTCCAAGAAAGTGGTAAATCTGTCATGCTGAGAGCATCTCTAGCCTCAGATAAAGCATTCTTCCTTTAGACAGAGAAGAGAACTGAATCCTGAATCCTTTCCATTCTAAAAACTGTGCACAAACAAAACCTCCTCCATTTCTCTGAAATCCATCTCCATCCTTATTTAAGACTCACAAACTTTCAACAGACCCACATAACATTACGATAAAATACTTATACAAATAAATAAATAAGACAGAGTGTTATTTCTTAAATAAAGCCAAGCGTCTTAAACGTGTTCTGGCAGGCTCTCTTTAGTATGGCCTTTTTTTTTTTTTGGCACTTCCCATGCAGGCACAGGCTTTAGTCTACATTTGACTCATTTGTTTCTAAATTATGTGGAACATACAGTCTACTGTGACATTATCGCTAACGGAATTGTCATATCCAGACAATAGTCAGGCAAAAGTGCCACAGGTCACACCATATCAGATTTTCATACTGACAATGAATAGCGAATAGCAATGTTACAACATTAGACAACTGTGCAACAGAAATTTATCTCATTATATGACACACAGAAATGTGGTGTTATTCAATGATCCGTAGACACGACGCAATTTCACGCAAACAAATTAATTGGTGTATACTGCCCTCTAGAGGTCCT